TATGAGCTTTAAGCTATTTAGCCTAACCATTTATGTTTTTGTGTTATAATTTTTAGTCATTCTAGAAGGAAAAGGCATAATTTATATTTATTTCCTTTTTTTTTTTTATATGGTGGTTATGAGATCAGTCAAATTGACCAAACCTGTACACATATTCGTTACTGAAAATAACAGATAAAATATAGTTTTTTTTTAAGAAACATTTGATACCTATCTGAACATTATAAAGATTTCACATGTCAAATTTTAAAATTTTCTGATGCACAAAAATATTTCTAATCTTAAAATGAAAATAATTTTGCCTGTTGGATAGGCAACATGCAAAAATAAAAAAAGGCATGAGAAAAACATTGCATTACAAATCTTAAGACTTAATAAAAAATTTGATATTTTGCATATGAAAGCATTGTAATGTTTATGATAATCTGCCAAATGTCGTTAACATATGCTTACTAATTTAAAAGTTATAGCATGAATACTATAACAAGCATAAAATGGTTACGAGGTCAGTCCCAGGGACCGAGCCCGTGCTGAAAAAGAGTTCATTGCAATGTTTCAATAGACATAGGAAGGTTGTATTTATAACCAAGTTCTAAATACAGTGAGGTTCCAACTGTAATATTTATTGTTAATCTGTTATTGTCTGGTAATTACTGTTCACCCTGTACTTAAGCTTTTTAAAGGAACACCAAATTTCTGTATAAAAACTAACTTCAAGTGGTAATGATAACATTGTTTACACTAGCATTATGATTTTTTTTATTTGTAATAGTTATTAATAATACTTATAAAAGCATGTACTCCATTTGAAACTATTTCACCACAGTGAAATTGGTTGACACTATTTTTTTTGGTTTTTGAGTTTTCATGTAATAAAAAAGAAGCAGAAGAAATTGAAGCTTTTTGCTATGATACTTGCAGACATTCCCAGAACTTGTGACTCAGTCATTATGTAGATATTGATGACCTATTGAGGATACATTTAAAATACCATTTTTATGGGTCAGGCATGGCCAGGTGGTTAGGGAGCTCGACTCCTAATCTGCGGGTCTCGAGTTCAAATCCCTATCACACGAAACATACTTGCCCTTTCAGCCGTGGGGGCATTATAATGTGTTGGTCAATCCCACTATTCCTTGGTAAGAGGAGCCCAAGAGTTAGCAGTGGGTGGTGATGATTAGCTGCCTTCCCTCTAGTCTTACACTGTTAAATTAGAAATGGCTAGTGCAGATAGCCCTCGTGTAGCTTTGCACAAAATTCATAACACATCAAACTAACGAACAAACCATTTTGATGAACAATCCAAGCCATTTATACATAGCAGTGTTACCACCTGCCTGATAATGACTCTAGTTGCAAGCCAAAATATATACTTACTTATATTATTAGTTAATTGATGTTCATTGTCATGTGAAAGTAGTTACATTGTTGATACCATCCATCATAATAGGTTTTGGTTTCTTAACTAATAAGTGGGATTAATTACTGTTTTGTTTTTCAGCTTCCTCTTACTAGTTGCATTGTTGATGTCACCTTTCACAATAAATTTGTTTTTTTAACTAATCAGTAAGATTAATACTGTTTTTCCAGTTTCCCTATAGTAGTTACATTGTTGGTATCACCTTTCATAATAAA